TGAATATACTATATGTTTTGATAATATGAATGAATATTCCCTGAAAGAAAGATAATATTTCTATATAGTTGAATTCATTATAACTCAATTATTATTTATTATTTATAACAAATTTAGTTTCCTCTAATGAACAACAATTAAATAATTCGAATCATATTTCAACATTGGATTCAACGAAATTTGAATCTCATATAAATTCTAATGATAATATTCAACATCAATTAGATATGAAATTAGATGAAAATGCTAAATTACTTGTTCAATTACGTCAAGCACAATATGATCGTTTAGGTCAACCATCAAATAAAATTCATCAAATAATATCTTCATCCCAACAACAACAGTCAAATGAACCTCTTAATGAATATGATTTAGCTGAAAAGGTTCTTTATAATCTCAGTGATATGACACATATGTCATCAAGTGGTCCCGAGCAAGTTATATCACCTGAAATAATTCGTCATAACCTTGGTGTTATTATTCATAATGAATTATCAAACGTTGATGAATTGTAAAAAGATCTTTTTATTTATTTTGTACAAACGGATAACTTAGTGTTTCTTTGTTGTTGTTGATGTTACTGTTAAAATACATAAATAAATAGATTAGAGACAGTAATTGTATCCTAAATGTGTATATATCTATATGTGCCTATTTTTCAGATAAACATGCGTCAACAAGATATAAAACAAAAATTATCAGGACAAGATTTACGTTTTACACCATTTCGTACAATAAATGATTTTATTCTTGATGCAACATGGAATATACCAAATTTTTCGGATTTTCCACGTTTAAACAATCGTATTGTTAGTAATTTAATTTATTATCAAACAAATTATTTTGTTTTTGGTATTGCTCTATTTCTTCTAGTTGGGTAAGAAAAAAAATTGTTTGTTTGATTTTTTGCTTTGTTAATTCATATTTAAAACATTTCATTTTAGAATTAATTATCCAGTTGATTTTCTTTTTGGCTTAATTGTTGTCATGGCTGTATTAATGGGTTTTGTTTATATATCATCAACACCTCGAGTTGGAAATAATGCATTAGCATCAGTCGAACATTTCTTTCGTTCAGCTAAAGAAGATCGACCAATAATTGTTCTTATTGCAATACTTGGTATATCATATTTAATTTTAAGTTTTCTCGGAAAATTATTAATTTTCTTTGTTGGTATTGTTTTACCTATTCAAGGTTTGTAGTTTTTCTTTGAATAGATTCTAGTATTGGATTTTGTTTCTTTTTATTTTTCTAAAGTTATTATTCTTCATGCAACATTTCGAACACGAAATTTGGCAAATAAAGTAGCAAATAAATTTGATCAAATTGGTATTCAAGCAACACCAATGGGCATTTTTCTTAGTGCACTTGGATTACGTAGTCAGGCATTATTGGAGTGAATAAAAAGAAAATATGACACATGTTTTTTTTTTCGCTATTATTAATTTTTTCATCCTATCTTCCCTATATTATTTTGGTGATATGATTCAGTATGCTTCTATTATATGTTCTAGAGTATTTTTTTCTTACATCAATAAGTATTTTAAAGACTGAACATATACTTCATATTTGACTGATGAACAAGAACAAATTCGATAACAATTGAGGTGGGCTTGAAATGGTGTCACTAGTGTCCTACAAATAAGTTGGGTACACAGTATCCGATCCGACAATTAATGAAATCTCGATGATTCAAAATATTTTTACTCTGTGCAACTGCTAATTTATATAAAGGCATAGGAATGAAAATCAGTTCGAGCAATTTATTGTGATTGAGAATAGGTCACAGAAATGGAAGGAAATATTGTTTTACTAAAAGAATGTGTTTTGAATATAAAATTCATTTATAGGTAATGAAAAATCATTTGATGAAAAAATTGAATACATGGTAAAGGCAATGATTTATCAAAAAGATTAGCATATATTATTGTGATAAAAAGAAACATGTATACATGAATCCATAATTATGACGTTTGGCACCAACACGGCGTTATCTATAACAAGCAAATATAAACTTCGCTAAATTGGCCGGATTTTCGAACCTGGAAGACGTCAAATGAATTTTGAGTCATTTGATTTTTTGTAAAATTTGAAACGAACTTTTTTTTTGTTGCTGTTTATTGAAGAAACTAAATAGTATACTTTTTCATATAAAACAAAAGTTCGAAAACAGTACTATGACTGTGAAAATATTCGTCGGATGTTGATTAGCTCTGGCTCTAGTATGGTTGTGAGAAATTGCATTAGTATAGGATACTAATTGTAACAGACAACTCCACTGGTGGAATTACAGAGACTGGTATATAGAATTCCAATGTAGATGTTACAAACACTAAATTTCACCTCAGTTATTTGAGTTTTCATTTTATGAACAAGGGGTGCATCTCGCTCATCAAGTAGAAACTGATGAAAATTGATGATTTCAAATATAGATTACAACGGATAAAGAAAACAAAGATTTCTATGTCAATTATTAGGTTCGTTTTCTATAACAGTACTCAACATGACTGTTTCACATACTGAGATAAAGCCTAATTTTTTTCTACTCTAGATCGTAATTAGAAGAATTCTTTAGTTAGATAAGATTTGTTTTATATATGTAGATATTCTCATTTACGTGCAAATTTTTCTGACGTAACTGAAAGTAAACTTTTATAGAATAATTAATAATTCTGTTTTGATTATTCATCTCTATAAGAAAAACTCATTCGAATAGTTAACATAGTCAACATTTTCTCGACAATCGAAAAATAATAAGTTGACTAATTCGAATCAGCACTTTCATGTCAGAATGGTCAATGATATTTTTTTGTCTTTATAATAATTATTATTCGTACTATATTTTTACCGTGGTAATTGATGTTTGAAAACTTTTATTAAAGTCTTTACTAAATCAAACTATGACCTAGAATGTGTATATGTGCAGAAGTATGTTTGACTGCGTATAGCCGACTTTTGATATCAGCCTCACTCGAAGGTTTGCGATCAATGCTCGTCTCTATGTACATAGTAGAGTGGGTGACGATAACGTCTTCAACTACAGCCACACTTGAGTCTAAAATTTATCTTTGTTCGTGGTTATGTAAGTGTCGATGAAATTTTAAGTTATTTTAGAACTAGACTGAAGCAACTACTACGAGAAATAACAATACTCATGACCGATTATTATTCATTGAAACCGACGATTAACCACAGTTTCTTTGAAAATTAATATGGTCATAGAGTTCATTTTCCTATAGCAATTCTGAATTTTTTTTCACTATTAAATGAAAACTATTTGCTTAGAATATGTCAATTTCTCTTCCTGAGAAAAAAAACCACACATTATTCGAGTACATTGATAAACTTAGTGTAGAAAGATTTCAACTCAAGGCTAAAATTCTATTTTTTACTATAAAAAAAGCTTCCTTGCATTGTGATATGATTTCTATAGGAACAGAACAAGGTCAGTTAATTGATTTTTTTTTTATCAATTTCCGTCATATGTGTGTTTTCTGGCTATTCTCATATAGCTCAATATGACATTGATGCAAGCTTATAGTTCATAAAATATGAAGTCGTACAGTAAGATCAAATACGGCAGTTAAGATTAAGCACCATTGTATTAATCAATCGGCTTCCATACTGCGTACGGTCTAATGAGAAATCGATTATGCTCACATAATTGAACGATACTTATAAAGCAATCATTTGGTAACGTACAATCTCTTGAATATTTCCAATATAAGATATAAAAATAAGTGACGAAAACTGATGAACAAAACGTATTTTGTTTGATGTAAATATCAGTGATTGATCATGAAACTTCTGTTACCTATGAAATCAACATGACATATATAGAAACTTCTAACGACATTATATGAGCAGATCTATTACATGAAATTAAATTGAGTGATATACAAGGAATTTTATCAAAAATTTAATCAGCAGAAGTAGAATGAAGAATTTAATATTCAATATGTACTATGCTTTGCCTATAAAGCGATCAATTGAATTAATAAACATTTTTATATTGTTAATACTGATATCATGTCAAGGGTTTTACACATATACAGATTTATTATCAAATATTAACAACGACAATTCGTCTATATTAAGTGATTGTATCTTGTTAATGCTAATCGACATCGGAACTCAACAGAAAAATCTCGACTAAGGAGAAAACATGTCTAAGGAGCTTTGAATATCCTTAAAAAGAGTTCAGGCGAATAGCTTATTACTGCCGAGATATTCGATTTTTACTGTATTTTTTATCAGAATGCTGTGATTTTCCTGAGTGAGACCACGGCATTCTGATAAAAAATATAGTAAAAGTATAGTCATTCGGCAGTAATAAGCTTTTAATCCAAACTCTTTTCAGAGTATTTATAGTTCATTAGAGCCTACACGATTTACATAGTCTTGATTCAAAAGTGATTTGACACTTAAAAACGATCCTTTGTAAGAGACCAAAAAGATGAAGTATATATACTTCTTAATCATGTATAAAACCTTTACTAACATCACGTTTGTTTTTTCGTTTGTTTATAATATATTTTTGTTTGATTGTACACAAACCCAGAGGCATCGATCAGCAGTGTAGGCAGGCAGTTGTCACGCCCTATGTGCTTCTGTATAAATCAGCACTCATTATACCTTACTATATATTTCAAATAAAAGAACAAGAAGATATGAAAAAAAAATAGAACGATAGATTCAAAAATTGTTTAATCATCATCTATTTTATTGTGACACTCAAGTGAAAAATCAATTAACAATAATTTACAAAGGTTACTATGCACATTACTTCTAACAGTTACAAATGGTAACTATCGATAAAAATCTGTTTATCAAATTTGATTACTCAGCACATTTAATAGATACAGATAAACCGAATAAACAATATTTTGATAAGTAAAAGATAATATAAAAAGTCAGGTGCATATGATGAAAGTTCATATTGAGATAGAGAACATGCAACAGTCGATCTTTTGGTCGAAAACCATTTGAACAATCTAAATGCATAGAGGTCAGTAGTTGTTTATTGATTTTTACTCATTTTAGAGGTGTTAACTACGTTCACTACAGGTTTCGACATCTGTCATGTCGTAACAGTGCGTTTATCCTCTTTTATTGTGTTTTAACGAAACAAACAAAAACCTGACTATATGACTTATGAGAAAAGAAAAAAAAAAGACTCGTAGAACGAGTAAGAATCGAATTTCACTATAAATTTTTATGTTAGATTTTTTTCCTACTGTATAACAACGACAAACGTTCGTATGGTCGTATTTCTTTATGTAGCGAAAATTATCTCTAACTATTTATTCAAGGTTATATCATAGCGATTATATTTTTTCCTGTTGTTTTTCTTTCGTTTGCAGAACAAATAGGATTGTAGGCGTTAAAAAAAAAAAAGAAGAAGAAGAAGAAAAAAAAGAACATTAAATGTGTTTTTGTCGTCAAACATACCAATTTCACTATACAAAAGAAAATTTTTTAGATCATTCATGTTGATCGTTATCAATGGCTCTTACTTCATCACTTCATACAATGCCAACCGGTTCCGGTTCATCATCATCAAATACATTTCTATTGCCTAAAACTGATATAACGATAGCTGATAATCAATTAATTGATATTCTTTTACATGATCAAAGTAATGAACATAAAATTCAAATAGTTAATCGATGGTGTAAAAATTCACGACGTAATCGTTTATCAACTATACTTGATGTTTCACAAAGACATGATGTATTATTATCTCTAGTAAATACTCTTCAACAAACAACAAATACGGAATATCAATATAATTGTTTAACATTATTATCAGAACTTCAAACAAATAATCATCAATATGATCAACGTATTTATCTACCAGGTTAGTTTAAAATTAATTGAATATAAAAAAAAAAAAAACGAGATAACAAAAATCAAGTTGATTTTTTTTTCTTAGCTATTATTCAATGTTTTGCATCAACATCTAATGATGTACAATTATTAGCAGGACAATTAATAATAAAACAAATTCGTATAACACAAGATATTCCAACATTTTTATTTCTTTATATACAAGATGGTTTAAAATCTTCAAATATAAGATTACGTGTTAAATCTATTCAATTATTAAATGAATTATTAACAAATACACATCAATATGAAAATTTATCACCTATATTTGAAATACTTCTTCAATATTTACAAGATAATACATTTCGTTCAACATATAATGATATTCTTGTTAATTCAATACAACATATAAAACATATATTAGGTTCAGATTTATTAAGTAATTATCTTGAAAAATATTCATCAACATTAAGACGAACATATTATACATATATATCACAAAAAGAAGATGACTTACATATTACAAATATTGATACTGATTTAGATGATGATGATGAAACGCCACGTGCATCAATACAAACATCACAAATTAAAGATTCAAAAGGTAAAAATACATATTTTCATACAGGTATATTTAATCATATAGGAATTCTTCTACAGTTAAATGATATAAAGACGATTTATAGTGGAGGCATAAGGTTTAGAAATGAAGTCTTTTTAACTTTTCTCTTAACTATAGTGGCTAGAATAAATGGAAGATTAGATTAGCTGAAATGACTCTCAATCGGGAGAAGTATTTGCCAAATTACCTTTAATAGGTTTGAGCAAAACGTCTCTGATAAACGAAGATTTCTAAGAACCAGTTTTTGAAAAGAAGTTTATCTAATAGAGGAAACGCTTAGTGTAGAATATTTTTCGAGCCTTATCGTACAATAAGTATCGTTTGTGAAGAGTTTGGCGATATCTTATTTTACTCAGGAACATTTTCTCTATTGCATGAAAATTCTTTGAAAAAAAAAATGTTTTTGATAGAATTTAGAAAACTGAATTTTCGACGTCTTAGTATTCTTGAGATGTTTCACATGAGTTCATTAATGGAAGTTTGATAAATACATTTCCTAATAAGAAATTATTTCAGTTGATCAAATCTTTTTTCAATCCATACTAGCGATTACCGCTAAGGAAAAATGTCTAAAGTAGTTCATTTCGAAACTTTTTGTCATCATCTTAGATAAATTAATCTTGCTATTTCGATTATTATTGTTTAGGAACTAACAATGTTCATTTAAATGGAAATAATCATGCTGATAATTCCCATAATTTATTTTCTTTACGAAAACTTCCTGTAACATCTCAACCATCGATTACAACACCTACGACAAATGAAAATTCAGATTTTGATTCAATTGTTGAATTAATGCGTTCAAAATGGTTATCAGCTAGTGATACAAATCGTCTAACATATCTTGATAATTTTAAACAAGCATGTGATAAATCTTTACAATTAATACGTTCACAATATTTATCAACAAATCATAGTTCACAATTTTATCAAGTCTTACATACATTTTTAACAACTATACTTGATCTTTTATCATATATAACATCATCAAATCTTGATTTATCAATTAAAATTAAACTTGTTTTATGCACATGTCTTGGTTGGCTTATAAAACATGCACAAGTTAGTTATTGTAAAAGAAATTATAAAACAATTTGTATTATATTTAAAAATATTCTTCTTAATGGACAATCGAATAATCGACAATTAGCAGTAAGTTATTTTTTTTTCTTTGTTTGATATTTCGATTTGATCGAATTCAAGAAATTCAAAAAATGTATTGAAAATAATTAGTAGATATTTTCTCAATAGATCGATACATGAATGAAATATTGAAGTATTTGCTTCAAGGATATAGAAACCAATCAACTGATCGATTTTCAAATAGATGACATAATTGTGCTTGTTTTGACTTTTTTTTAATAGCAAAACAAACAATGTAATATTCAGTCCATTGTTGAGTTTTTTTTTTTCATATAATTAATTTCGTTCTGGTTTTTTTAATGTCTAATAACTATTATTTGTTTGATGTTGAATAGAAATTAAGTGTAAGTCTTATATTATTACTTGAAAATTTTGTTCAACCTCAACTTATTCTTAATGAATTAATTGATGATAATTTTGAGCGTTATAATTATCGTATTCAACTTGAAATGCTTGCTATTTTAACAGCAACACTATTAAAATATCGTCAACATCATTATGATAATTTAACAAAACTTTCAAAATATCTTCTACCAATGTTAATGTCAAGTCGTCGTGAATTACGTCATGGAGCTATTGAGTGTTTTACTGTAATCTGTAGTTATTTTAATACATATAAGCCAATAACATCATCTATACTTGAAACAAATCAATCGATAAAACTTGTCTTAACATTAGTTGAAAATTTATCATATGAAGCATTAAATGCATTACGTTTTCGTTTACAACGTAATTCACTTCCATCATTAACTGATGAAGGTAATATAACACCAGGTTTAGTATGTGATTCAACAACGATGAATGATCTTGATGCAAAATTTATTTTACTTGTCAATAATACAACGTCAACACCACAACCAACAACAACGATAGCAACACCTGTCGAACCACCATCATCAGCATCAACAAAAATGACACCGACAAATAATAAATTACTTCAATTAGCTATGCCTTTTGCTGAAACAACGACAAAAACAAATATAAATGATGCTGTAAGTTTTATTTTTAATTACCATGATATGTTTTCTATTTCTTGAACCTTAATAATTTCTAACAGAAATGAATGCCTTCCCCCCCCCCCCCCCCCCTTCATCAAGAAAAGAAACAGAAAACTTCTTAACAATTGAATTTAGTTTTTTTTTTTAAATACTGCTCTTGAATAATACAAGATAGCTTTTATTTCGTCATTCATAGTTTACTTAAGTGATTAAATGTTTATCAAGAGTTCTTTTATGAGAGCAATCGAATCAGCTTCGTTTGACTTTAGGATTTTTTTTCCTTTCATAAGAAGATCTTAAAGATCCTATATAAACACTTAGAATTATTTCTTTTTCTCTTCTTATTATTCAAGAAAAATATTGTGGCAATTATGAATATATTGATTTTTAAGTCTAGTTATTTTACACAATAGAAAACAAAACTTCATGGATGAAATCAAAGTATGTCAATCGATTCATTTTTATTTTAAAGGATGCAAAATATTAAAATAATGCACTTTCCTTATACATATTCGAAGTGTTTTGTTTTGTTTTTATTTATACTCCTTGTCTACAATTCATAAAAAAGCAACCACAATATGACTACTATCCTCATCAATAACTGAAAGTAGAAGAAAAAAAGGAAAAGAAATAAAGGGTGACGACAATAATGATCGACATTGATGTATGTGAAAACGCATGAGAAATGATGATTGAAACCTTTGCTTGACTGCTATTGTTTAAAACGAGTGAGACATACACGCATGCATTTTGTTAAATGAACGAGTGCGAGTAACAAGAAGAACAAGAAAAAAAAAGAAAAATTAACAACCATAGTCACCACCATCACCTTGCGACTTCTTTTATGTCTCGTCGTGGCAACTATTGCAGCTAGCAAACTTGACTTGACGTGGGTGTCCGTGTTTGATGAAAGATGTTCATGTTAGACGATGAAGATCTCTTTTACTGGCTTAGTCGACCTACGTTATGGGTAAGCCGGATATAGAAGAACAAGAAAAATATGGAAGAAATAAAAAACAGAAAAAAAAAGAATATCACTTCATTTGTTCGTTTCATTGAAGATTTCTTATAGTCATACGTGCATTTCAAATGAGCTAAAAGCATACGAGTCATCTTTATCGTTAGTATGCGTGCACACATTTCAGCAACTTTTGTAAGTTTTCTAGAGTTTATTTAAAATAATTTTTTTTTAAAGAAAAAAAATTCTTATTCATATTTATACAAGTATCAAAAGTGCATACGAATGTCTAAATCAATGAAATTTGATATTCGTTTGTTCGTTCTTTTCTTTTTGTTTCCTTGTCTTCAATGATTAGGTTATTCTATAGTTGAATTTCAAGACATTGTCAATGATGTATGTTATATCTGCATATGAAAAATAATGAGTTTTAACTATCAGGAAATACTGAACTAGATAAGAAAAGTGAATTACAAAAAAGAACTACGCAAAACTTAATGTTCTCATTTCACAGCAAGACTTTTATAATGAATAATGTCATTGTATTTTGTTCAAATGATGCTAAAAAAAAATTTTTTTTCTAATGAAAATGTGTTGTAGCGGAAAAAAATTAGTTACTATAATTATTAATCCAATATATGAAAATAGCAAGAGTGCCTAAAGCGTTGAATGAAATTTTGATAATATGAAATAAATTTCTTTTTTTTACAATTAATTAGCGCTAAAATTATTTTAATTAAATATTCAAACACTCGTTTGTCTGTTGTTTTTCGTATCTCTTTAATACTAGAGAATAATTATGACCTTTGATTCTATTATACTTCGGCTAACAAAAGAGGTGTATGTCTTACTTTTTCTTCCGCACTCAATTATCCATCATTAAGCATCAGACAGTCAACGTATCCGCTATTACGGATTATTATAAAGACAAAAAGCACGTTTTGAAAAAGTCAGGCTTCTCTTCTATTCAATCCTTACTTATTATTTTTTTTTCTTACTTATACATTTTCTAATCTTACTAGAAAAACATCGTAATTAATTTATTAATTAAAGAAATATATAAATCTGGAATATAATATAAAATGGATTTGTATTGTAATGAGAAAAGAATTTCATTGGTTAAATATTTTTTACTAGAAAAAAAGTTCCAGATCTAATTATTTTGCTCTATATCTGATTTATAATAATAATCAGAACTTTTTTTTTTAAATCAAACTTGCATGTTGTTGATGATAGTTATTATTTTTTATCTTTTAATATGATTATTTCACTTCAATTATCCTTGTCAACGTAGATCAATGAATATATTAATTAAAAATTTTAATAAAAAAAATATTTATTCATTAAAGATACTTATATTATATTAAGCGTGCGATAGAAATTATAAATGTATCCGAGAGTTCAGGTGTAAATTAACAATAGAAAAGAATTATTTTTTTCGATTTAAATTAATAAAATATTTATATTAAATTTTAATTAATAGGTAATGCGTAATCATGAAATACCTCCATTAAAAGCACCTGATGTTGATCTTGACTTACATCGATTTACCAGTACTAATCGTCGTTATGAAACGCCAATAAATCGTAAGTTTTCATCTCATAAAATTGACTTTGCTTTTATTCTCTTTTTACTGTTTTTGTCATCATTAAACTTGTTCTTTATTGTTTTTGTTGTTCGTTTTTTTGACCTGATTAATTTGTTTTCTTTTTTGTTTATCCCTCATTGCACATCAGATCAGCACCAAACGTTACATTTTAACAATCGAATGACGTTGCTGAAAAAACGTCAAACACCAACCGGTAGTATAGAAAACGAATTGTGTATTTTCTTTTTCCCTTTTTTTTCTTTTTTCTTCTTCTGATTTTTATTCACATCTCATCAGTGTACGACTAACTGAGTGCAAACTTCTACTTTCTTATTCTTACTTTCTCTATAATGAATATTATAATATTGGAAACAACATTTTAAATGCGTTCTAAATATCCTGCTGATTCGGGTTTCTTTTGTACTTATTAATAATGATTTCAACCATCAGCTTTAATTTTATACAGAAGAAAAAGGGAACACAGAAAAAAGAAATAATATGTGAGATTGATAGGATCGACGTATTTTTTAATTAACTTTTTTTTTATTTTTTTTTTTCAAATAGTTTTTTCTGTATGTATGTGTGACGATGAGTGCAGACGTATGAGATACGCGTATATAAAGATCTTTTTTTCTTTTTTAACATCTAACAGTTACTTTTTCTCTGTTTTGACACATATTTCAATACGAAAAAAGAGCGAGGTGTTAATTAGTCGACAATAGTTCATCATAAAATTAATAACAAAAAAAAAGAAAAAACGAAGATTTTATTTTGTTGTTTTTCTTAGCAACTGTTGTCACTACACACACACCCGGTGGACCAACATTGGATTTTAAAATAACTGGAAATAATAGTTATCGTCCATTAACATTTACTGAAAAAGTATTTACAGATGAATGGGCAAAGAAATTATCAACAAATAATAATCATCCAAGTTCACCAATTATAACTAGTCAACAACAGCAAGGTTTGTATTGAAAAAAAAATGCACTGAAAAATTCAGTATAATTAAACTAGTTCCATTATGTAGAAGATGTCAGAAAATATTTTTTATAATTGACTCAATGAAAATATGATGAGAGTAAAATTTAGACTCTACGCACTTTTACATAGCATGTTTAAAGATGATTTTCATAGATAGTGTGTTTATAATCAGACGTCTTTTTCTTTTAATTAATACTCTATTAGGTATCGATTTCATAAAATCTTAACATATCAACTCTTAAGACGATTAAGTAGGCCGAAGAGAAGTTCATGACAATAACCTAAGAACATTCCTTTATAAAGAGTTTAATGAGCATTTTGTTGCCCGTAAATGATATAACAGACTCTTCTTTCTTTTTAATGAATATTTGAACAACATTTTTTTGTTTAGTTAGTAGATAACTTGAAAGAAAATTATTTTGACGTAGTTTTTTTTTTCCATATAAAATTCATTATTTGACATATAATGTCGCTCATTTTTTGTTATTTAATATTATTATATAGAAACTAATTATAATAATACACTTCAATTTCGCCCATCTATACCACGTCGTCCATCACTAAGTCGATTTCCAATAGCGCATAGTCTCTTAGTTACATCACAAGTTCATAATCATCAAGAACAACAACAGATTCAATCAAAACGTCAATTCGATTCCGAAATAGATCATGATGAAGGTATCGATAGTGCAATAGAATCACGCTCTCTATCGATTAACACACCAGACGATAATAGTATACCTGAGGTAAATAAAAATAAGAATGATTTTAAAAAACCGAAAAAAAAAACAATTCTCTCATTTAGAACGATCATAAACAATCAAAAAAACCTGTTCGATCAGTACATAGTAGTTCAACACGACGTAAAATCGAACGATTATTTAGTAACGGTAGTGATTTAGATTCAACATCAACACGAACTTTAACACCTGAAAATAGCAACGAAAGTGGAGTTTATTCACAATTAGGACGTGAAATTGATAACGATATTAACGGAAGTACAAGGTATTATCAAATAACAATAATATTACAATTATTTCTATAGTCTTTTGTTTTGTTCTAGATCTACACAATCAATCGGTAAAGATCAATTATTTTCAACTAAACCACGTTTAGCACGTTCTGGTTCAAAATCTAAACTTGATAGATCCCAATTGCCACCAACAGATCCATCATCTCGACAAACACATGATTATAATTCAAATGGTAAAAATACAAATCATACAACGAATACAAATGTTGAAATAATTGGTAAAAATTATATAGATACAAAAATGTCTTCAAAACAATTTTCAATTGAACATATAGATGATAAACAATTAACTGAAAATAAATCTCGAACAAAAATTACTAAAGGTAATTAGACAAAAAAACAAAAAAGAATAAAATTATTTATTGATCTTTATCAAGAGCTAATTAGAAGATTTGTTAAACTTATTCATGCGAAAGAAGCGGCCGTGATTTGTTTTTTCTAAGAGAATATACGAAAAATTTTCAACTTAGCAAACAGGTCGCGAAACCAGAGGTGTACATTAGAGCCCATCAGATTGATCATGGGTAAGAAAATTTTTGAACGTGAAGGGCTTTAGTGTGCACTGCCCGATAATTGAAAATGATTCATTATTACTATAAAAAAATATTAAGATTTTCGGCTTCTGCCGATCGGGCCATTACTGTTCATTCGAAAATTATTTTTTTCAGAATTTTCATATATATTCTACACTTATAGATGCTATTTGTTTTGAATAAAGACTTAAAAAATGATTGTCATTAGCACTTTTTTGTGCATAAAAGGTGCTTTTTGTTAAATTTTATTATCACATTTTAAACATTATTATATTATAATAGTTATTATCATCGAGAGTTGAGCTACCGTTTAATATCAGTAGGTTACCTAATATTGTTGTCTAGGTTGCATATCTATTGTCTTAGTTACAAACACAATATGAAAGTATTTTGTTTAGAGCAAGAAAATTCATGATTTTTTTTGTTGAATAACTCTAATGAAAAGGATTCATTGAGATGAACATGTCATTACGGCTATCTATATTTGTGTAAAATCATCCCGACCTAACTAAATCAAATAGAAAATTTTAGATAAACTAAAGGCTCATTTCTCTTTCTATAATCTAAGGTTGCATCTCTTTGTCAAATTAAATTGCTCAGTTATGACAATCTAACTGTATTACTTGTAAATAGACTACTTAGATCAACACATACAGTGTAATAAACGTCTTATGAAAACACAAAAAGTAAGTCGAATAGAATACCATAGAAAATAATTAGAATGAATCCTATTGATATAAAATATGTCATCAATCATGATAAGAAAAAAAAAAGGCATTTCGATAATAATTCAATGGTTTCTTTTCTTTACAAAAATATCGTTAAAAACTTCTTGTTCTGATTTTTTTTCTTATTCATTCTAATTAGTATTCACAGAACAATCTGATAAGATCGTTGATAGATAAGTGTGTCATTAAAATAAAAATTTTTGCATTATTGAGATTGATATTAACAAATACGTTACATTGACATATGACAAAAAAACATTCAACTTGTTTACATGTTTTATTATAAAACCTTAGCAATCATATTTCATGAAGAATTTCTTTTGCTGAAATCAATTGTGTAAAATAATTAGAAAAAAAACAACTTAGTAAAACATTACTTTCTTGAAACCTCGAAAAATAAATTAAATAAGAACGATAAAAGAGCAGAAACAATCATTTTAATTCTTTTTAAATGTATTGCACCGTTCAACCATGAACTTTCTTTTTTTCTTTTTTGTTGAATTGTATGGTCTATATAACATTATGGATATTTCTAAAAAGTACCCAATGAGCACTGTAGGCGTTAAAAACTATTAAAAAATTAATATTTTTCTTCGTATATAACATATTTATAATATGTCTTCTTTTTTTCTTTATTACATTTAGCTTCTGTTATTAACGGTCCTTTGAATACAACAATGCATACCAACGTTAACCTTGACAACGGATCTCATCATGATGATGAACAAGATATTGGAGTTATTGGTAAAGGTAAAATCAATAAGATTCTATTTTTAATTACAATTATCATAATTTATTATCTTATAGCTGTTAATATACCATTACGTATACGTCCTGAAATAGATTTAACTAAAATACAAAATACAAATACAATACATAATAATTTAAATAAGCCAAATGATAATGTCGATATGATATCTGATGAATATGATAGTGATTCAAAAGAAAATGAACATGTAAGTTTATAAATAACTAGAAATGTTGATATGAACAATTTCATTTATTAGCGATATGATTTCGAACACAGTAAAAATATGTATATTGTTGAATTGGAAAATTTCCTTTAACTTAATTTTATGTCACAAATGTATGTTGAATTACTCGAAATATCTTGAAAGTTTCAGTCGAAATATTAAATTTTCAACAAATAGTTATTTGTCACAAAAAGCGAGTTTACTTGACAATACGATATCTCGACAAACGAATATTCTAAGAGCCAATAGATCTATCTACAAGCTGAATTTCATGTCGTAGTTTTATTATTTGATTTTTCACTAAATACCTAAAAATGGATCGAAAATTCAGTAAAACAATCACGACTCCTTTCCAGAGACTCATAAGCACAAGTTCTTACAAACTTTTTCTTGTTGGACCAATATGAATTCAAATGGTGGATTACAATTACGGTATTTCTCTCCTATCCCTGTAAATCTTTGCTATGTCGTTTGATTATTGAAAAGCTAGAGTTAGTGACGTGATACAAAAAAAGTTTTCATGATGCGCGTTTCCATTTGTGAATACTGAAAGCCAAAACAATATCTTTGAAAACTAAATAGTGTATTTTGTAGAGCATTCTTCAGGCTACAAAGTCTCTGACCACGTTTAGATTTTGCAAAAAATTGAATTTATATCTTCTTAGCGACGGGGGGCGAATATGAATATGTAAAAAGAAAAAAATCGTCTTACATTTGAATGCAAAATTAAAAAAAGGAAAACAATTCTAATTTGTACAAATCTTTATTAAGAATTTCAAGATGATAATAAAACAATAAGTCACGTTTTCAAATTCCGATCTTGCTAAAAATTTCACAAAAGATAGAGTTCATAGTGTAAAGTCTATTATAAAATTTTTGAACTTATTCATCATAAAATTAGAGAGCTATTTGCTAATTACTTTTTAATTAGTCAATCAAGTTTAATTATATATGAGCTGAAAGCGCTAAAATTTTTACGCATATTCATAAGAAAAGAACTTTTTCAAAAAAATAAATAACCTTTAAAAAGAATCAAATTTAAAATGTTCATATACCATTTTTTTTACAGACTTTTGCCCATGAACATATCGAATGTGTGAGAAGAGTGTTGCAATTAGTTTCATGTTCTTGTTTTTTTATTTTGTTTAGTTTGTTGATATGGGTCAATCATTATCAGCTTCATTTCGTTTACGTGTTCAACAAAAAACTCAGGAAAAAATGGAACAAAAAGAACGTCGTCGACAAGATCGAGAATTTCGTCGTCATCAATTACAACTTCAACAACAAAATAATAATAATAATAATAATATAAATCATATTGACAATATTTATGATAATGATCTTCCAACATCATCAACATCAACAAGTCGTTATTCATCTCAACCTGATCTTTCATCCAATGGTAATGATTTACCTCCAACACCTCGACGTCAAATTGATTCAAATATAAGTTCAATATTACCCAATGTTCTTTCACAACAACGTTTTCGTGTATATAAAAATTCGTAAGTAAAAATTTCATATGCATATTAAAACAAAAAAATAAAATAAAATAAAATAAATCTTCATTTTTTTTTTCTATTTTAAAGTATGGCTCGATCTCAAACATTTAACAATCGACGTGATCTATCAGTAACAGATCAACGTATTCCATTTAATCGACCATTATCTGAAGATCGAATAACTGATCAATTAAGAAATCCTGACGCTGTTTATAGAGAAGCTATGGAATCGGTTTCGAGTGATGATTGGGAACGTAAATGTTCTGGTCTTAGTTTACTTCAACGTCTTATTGCACAATATCCTGATATAATAACACAAAATTTACATCAAGTTGTTTTAGTGCTTAATCAAGAAGTAAGAAAAAGCAAAGAACAACTATTTTTTCTTTTGTTAAACAGAAAAATTAATAATTCTTTTTTTTGTCTTTTGTCAGGTAAAAAATCTTCGATCACAAGTTGCACGTTTTGCTTTATCAACATTTTCGGATATGTTTAAACATTTAAAACGATATATGGATATTGAACTTGATTTAACTATTAAGGCTATTATGCAAAAAAGTGCAGAAAGTAATGAATTTTTTAGGTTTGTAATTTATTCAAAAAAAAAAACGTTTTTTTTGCTTTTATATAGAAAAATTTTATTTGTTTATTTGAAATTTTTAGAACTGACGTAGAAAAGTGCCTTCAAATTATGGTTGAAAATGTCACACTTCAAAAAGCATTACAAGCACTCATAGCTGGTGGAGCAAGGTGATTAAAAACAACATAGAAGTTTTCTTTTCTTTTAATATATTTGTTCAATTTCCGAAACGGAAATAACTTCAAGATTTTTACGAAATGAAAACAATGATATTTTCAGTTGATCATGTAACCGGAAAAAAAGTTACACAAAGGTCCTTGAGTTTCTTTATCATGTCAGTAAAGATTTTCTAGTCACGTTTCTCGATCAACTTCAAGTTACTTTATAAGCAGTAGAATTCAGTCGTTTGTATTAATGCTTAAAAGATCACCTGACGATGCAAATTCTTTAACTAATAAATGACTTTTGAGCTAAGACTATGTGCACATATGCAGAATTAAATGAATTATGAATGCCTTTAGTTTATTGCTGCAGAGATATTGTACTCATATGGTATATTTTTAAATAAATGTCGTGAGATAATAGAAAAATTGATTTTCGAATTTCGAGTTAAAACTTTGTACTGAAACTGATGTTTATAAGAATAGTCTTTTGTAAATGTTTCAGAGCGTGTCACTATTCCTATCCTAAGATACAACTATAACAATAGCGTATCTTTTAAATCACTCATATTAATCGGTAGATTTGATGTTCTTACTTCAAAATAGAAACAAAACAAAAGGCCTGAAATTTTTACAATAAACTATTTTTTGTTAAGGTCTGTCTCTCTACAAATTTTCAATTCGAAGATGCATTTTTTTCCTGTGTTTCTGAAAGTAATCGGAACATTCATTCAAAAAAAAACAATACTGCCAAAGTACAATATCTCCACAGCAATTAGCTAAGAGCATGAATTCTTTTCAGAGTACTTATAATTCATTTAGATCTACATAATGCATATAGTCTCTACTCAAAAGCAATTTATCAGTTGGAGAACTTCCTTTGGGAGCACTCGTCTAGTTGCGTCACTAGAGCCCCTATATATTTTAGAAGAATCGCCTGCGGACAACAATAGGAAATTCATAATAGAACACCCAGGTCTTGTCAAACAAATCCATCGTTTTAATTTTTTAAACCTTTTCTTTCATTGAAATATCACTAAATTATGGTTATTGAAGAATAAAAGTCACAAAAGAATAGAAGAAAGAATAATAGCTTATGAATGCATAATGAGAATATATTTTCTTCAGAGGAAAAAACAAGATAACTATTGTTAGCTAGAATAAAAAAAATGAGAGTCAAAAACAAAACAGTGTTGCAAGGAGTAGAAAACGATTAATATTAAATTTCATTTTTATTAACAGTTATAAATTCTTTAAAAACTGTATAAAATATAAACAAATAACAGTGTGAAATTCTTTATAACAATGATGATTCAAAATGTTGAAATTATTTCGACCATTGATAAGTGCGGAAATAAATTAATAATATGTTTATCAACATATCATCAATTGAATTCCCTCAACGGTAATAAGAAAGAAAAAGAGAATGATACAAGGTTTAACAAGTCCTTTCTTTCTTTTATATTTGAAACATAATTATAGTCAACAAAGTAAAATTTAATAAGGATATTCGATCTTTTACGGATAAGAATTCATATTAGAAGATCCGGAGTTTTTTTTGATTATTTGTGGGAGGGAGATTCTATTTCTAAATTCAGTTCAAATAAATGAACATAAACAAAAGTTCAAATCATTTTTCTTTTATATTTAAGTTTTATTGATCATACGCAAAAAAATATAAAGATCAAGGATTTTTTATTTCCATAATTCAATTAATTCGATCGAAAACTCATTTATGAATCTTTTCCGAATGAGAGATTACCATGATAATTTATATAATCTTCTTTTCTTTTCTTATTCTTCTTACTCTTTATTAGTCATCGTAATCCGGCTGTAAGAAAAACATCAGCAAAATACATCTATATTGTTTGTGAAAAATTGGGTCCCAATAAAATATTAAGTGGTGCTCGTGATATAACAGAACGTGTTTTACAAGTAGCAGCTACATTCGCATCAGATGGGCCACCAGAAATTAGGTATATCTATATATATATACTCATTAAGAAAAAAAATATATTATGTTCATTCAATTTAGATGGTATGGTAAAAAAATTTATCATATGTTAATGTCTTTTGATGAACTTGATCCATTAATGAAACATTATCTTAATCCAACAGTTTATTCAAACATGTGTGAAATTCTTGATAATATTCGAGCAAAAGTAAATCCATTCGGAATCATTGAAAGATCTGAATTTTTCTTTTTGTTCTATATTAAATAGGATGGAGTTGGTGAAACACCGAGTGAATCAGCAACAAAAAATGGTCGACGTGCATTACCAACGGATAAAATGCCTTCGAATGGGTAAATAAAAATTTATAGAAAAAAAAAAACAAACAAACAAACTATTCTTTGAAATTTATTGTCAATTTTAGAACGTTAACAAATCATTTTTCATCAACACGTAAAATAAATAGTGCTGATCAAACGGAACAAGTTCGTAATTTAACAAAACAAATGCGTAGTTCAGATTTTCGTGAACGTTTAAATGGTATTGAAGAATTTCAAAAATTATGTGAACTTGAAACTGGTGCAGCTATACAATCACTAGTACAAATTTTTGATGGTTTCAATGAATGTTTAGCTGATATGAATTCAAAAGTTGTTTTTAAAGCATTAAATACAATGCATCAGCTTATACCAATCTTAGGTGATGCATTAGCAAGTGTTTTTAATTCAGCATTACCAATTATAGCACAAAATATTGCATCAAAAAATCGAGATATATCACAACTTGCTTCGGATATTATTGATACAGCTATTGAATATATTGGTAAAAAACCAAAGAAAATAATAATTTTAAAACTTATTTTTTGTTTGTTTATAGATAGCGGTTGTCTATTACAACCACTTTGTACATTAAGTCAAAATAGCAATCTACGTGTTCGACCGGAAATTGTCTTAAAATTAGCTAGTAAGTTTTATACTTATTATAAATATTCAAAGACTAAAATTATAAAATTTTTTCAAGAAGAATTGTTTTATTTAATTAAATAATTCGTCCTCTCACTAGAATAAAATACCGTAGCTTTTTCTATTCCGGAGTAGTATATTTCCGAAAAAAAAGACTTCTGAAAACTCATGACTTTCTAAAATCAATTTTAAATATTCCTATTTTAGCTCTTGTTCCGCGTGTTTGTCAACGTAAACCTAAACAGGTTGAAATTCATCTATTACCAACTTATTGGAAATTATTAGCATTATTACGTGGTCAAAATACTACTGCAATAATATCATCAGGTGGTGGTTCAAATAGTTTAAACTCTTCAATTCATGTATTAACAACTGCACTTTATACAGAATTAGGTTCTGTACTACTTGATAAAGCAAGTTCAAGTTCAATGGTAACACCAAAAAATTTACAAGTACTTCGTGAACTTTGCACAAATATTGATGCTGTGTGATTTTTTATTTTCTCTTCAGTTGTGATTATATTAATATATATATATATAAATACATATAGATATATACCCACGGCTTCTTCACGCATTGTAGTTGTTCATTTGTACACACAGCTCAAGCAATCGCTCTTCGTTTTTTTTTTAATTTCTTAACAGTGACATATGTCTTCTCGTATTCAGAATTTCATTTATTCATTATTGGTTTTTGTCCCCCTTGTTCTGTGATTAATAATGACTGTTACTAGTTTTTTTTTCTCTTCTCTTCCGTTCTGTTTCGTGCACGCTCTTCTTCGATGTTTTGTAATATGTAAGAGAAAAAAAAAAGAAACAATGATAGTGTGTATGCGTGTGTTTGTATTTCAGCGGAGGTGAAACACAGGAAATAAAGAATTTTATGGTTTATGACAAATATAATTGAAAAATAGATCAAATTGAATTGTTTAATCATTTTAATAAATCTTTAATTTGAACAAAGAATAACTGAAAAGAAATGGTGGATTCTTACTTTCATAGATGTCTAAGGCTATTTTAGAAATTGGATCAAATGAAATTAAAGATATAAAAGAATATTGAATGAATGTTTTATGAGAGAATTATAGATAATATAATCGTGTAAGTCACTATGGAGTTGTAATGAATATTTTTTTAAATTCATCTAACATCAAAAAAAAATTGAATCAATATTACCAATTAAACCAAAAATTTAAAATACAATAAATACTCTTGATAATTGAGTATTTTTGTACGAAAATAAGATTTATGTTTAATGGATTGAATAATTCGATGAACCGATCAGATAGTGAATAACGATATAATATTATTGCATGAATATTTTCTCATATAAATTATAGATATCTATTATTATCAAATAAAATTTTTTTAGCACTAATATTGTATTAAATAATTTGTAATCAAACTTATTCTATTGGAATAATTGTTCGATTGAGTTTTTAAAATATTTTCTCATAGTTTTTTTTTTTTTCTTTTGAAAATAATTTTCGATCAATTTTGTTTTTGTTTCTATTGATTGAAGGTTGATGTTATTTATATAAACATATCATGACTTTCTTTTGTATATAGTTATTATTCGGTATCATTGAAAATTTATTAATCGTTGCTAAGGACGTAGAAGAAGAAAAAAGAAAAAAACGAAAGGTACACTTGGATGAAAGAAGAACAGTTGAAAGTGAATTGAAGGCTCAATGAAATGTTCTACTTTATTTCTTTTCTTTTTTTTAAAGACTATTTTGTTCATTATACTCTCATTTATGCATGGTTCATTACCAAATGATGAGAAAAAAAAAGAAAATCTTAATTTACAAAAAACAGACCATTTATAAGAATAGAAAATATGAAGACATGAAAAAGCATTAAGAAAAAAAAATGAAAGGAAAGTTCTTCTCTTTACATCATACTTAAAAACTCTGTCTACTACACTATAAAATATTGCTTTTGGCAAATGTGACACATTACTATATGCAAAGTGTTTTTCTCGATAATACAAGTGATCCCAAATGAATAGATATGCGGGCATGCATGAAAAAAAAGGAACATTCTCTAAACATAGTTGCGCATAGAATCATCAAAATAAAAACAAAAAGAAAAGACGAAAAATAGATTCAAAGGGCTTACTTATCTTCTATATATAAATATCTAAATAACAAAAGAAATATTTTTTAAAGAATTTATCTATCTATCTATTTATTTATGTTTTAATGTAATGCTTTGGGCTAATAAACATAACTAGTAGTTATATAAGATAGTGATGAACGATATTCAAGATTATGAGGGTGTTGATTGAAAATTCAAATTATGCTCGAAGGGTCGCGCATGGCACTTGACAAAGTATGTTTATGCATACAACCGCGTAAAGAACTGCTTTTACTCTTATATATATATATATTGATAATAATAGTGTTTATGGCAGAATAAATCCTATAGGATGAGATGCCATAGTTAGGCTGTTGATTGCAACAATATTGAGAATATAACATCAAGTGGCGAGACTTTCATTGCGATCTTTTTTTTATATGACAGATGATTACTAAATCTATTATTTTCTTTTCTTTTTTTGCCTTTTTTTGGCATAAGAAAAAAAGGAAGAACTATCACATCACTAGTTTGTCGTTCTCTTTTGATGAGAATATGAGAGAAAGAATGAGAGAGTAAGAGTAAGAGAGAGAGAGAGAGACAGAGGGACAGAGAGAGATGCAGGGATAAGCGAAGAAAAAAACAGAAATTAAAAAGCCCGAGAGCGGAAATGTCGAACTTTCCGGTTGTCGAAGCATACTACTCTTGGCTAAGATGTCATACGAATCAATATGTCAGTCTTCAATAGTTTCATCATTCAAGAGAATAACAACGACAATTTAACTTGACAAATGATGTGGTTCTTATTAATAACTGTAACATTTCTATTTTTATTAATTGGAAAAATACAAATAAGTCTGTGTAATACTACTTTTCAAATTGGTGTTCTTCTTCCAACTGATCCACAATTACCATTTGATATGCAAAAAGTAAAACCAGCTATTGTTTTAGCTGTTAATGAAGTGAATAAGCGTTGTTTATTAATTAATAAAAATCCATTTGAAGTTCGTTATGGTGATACAAATTCATCTTATATTGTTGGACCTTTACTAGCTATTGATTTTTATGCTAATCGACAAGCTGATGTATTCTTAGGACCTGTTGATGGTCCTGGTTTAGCAGCTGTTTCAAGGTAATACAGTAGTTTGTTTTATTGTTCTATGTCCATTTGATTAACTAAATTAGATATTCACCTCATTGGCGGATACCCGTTATATCGCCAGGTGGTGGTTTTAATTATCATTTTGATAATAAACGTGAATATCAACTGTTAACACGAATGCTTCATTCATCAAAAACTATAGTTCATTTTATATCTCGTGTTATTTTACCCCATTTTAATTGGACTAGTGTAAGAATTATAGCTGAAAGAAATGTTATTGAAGCTCAAGTAAGTAAATATATCTTTTTTTTTTTATTAGAAATTTAAGTTTTCTTTTTTTCTTTTTAAATGAAATTAAGAGTGAGTGTTATATGTTAATGGGTGCTTTATGTCGAGAATTGCGTCATCCAAATAGTAAAGGCGAATCAAAAGATACGTTAGTTGACATGAAGTTTATTGCTTAGTTCACAATGAATTATTACTTTTTTATTTTTATTTATTTAGATGTTCTCATTCAATATTTGATGTTGATCGAAAAAATGAAACAAAAGAAAAATTACGTAAAACATTGGATGAAGCAAAAGCTGAAGCAAGAAGTAATTAGATTTTGATTTTTTTTTTTAATCATTCATCTCTACTTTACTTTTTTATTAGTTTTATTTATTTGTATGGATTCAAATTTATTTCGAGAATTTCTTTTAATGGCACATGATCTTGATATGATCAATGGCGAATATGTTTTTGTTTATTTAGATATATTTCGTTTGATGAGGTACAAAATTATTTTCATTGAATTATTTTAAAATAATTTTACTTTTATTTAACCAAAAAAAAAAATATAGAAAAGATATGAATTTAATTAGTTGGTATAAAAATGAATCAACTGAATTAGAAAATAGTAAAGCACGTCGTGCTTTTGAAACAGTTCTTATCGTAGCTGTTAAACGACCGGATACAGAACGATATCGAGAATTTTCTTATCAAGTTAATACAATACACGAAAAAATATATAATGACAGTACACAAACAGGAAAACTTGTATGTCGAATGTTTTCTAATAAAAAAAAAAAAAATTTTCTTTTCTCGTTTGCTCATTGATGGAAAAAAAAAGGTCAACCCATATGTTGCAACATTCTACGATGCTGTTCTACTTTATGCATACGGATTAAATCGTACAATAGAATCAAATCAAAATGCTAGTGATGGATTTGCTGTTGTACGAAAAATGTGGAATGTTAGTTTTGAAGGTTTGAAGACATAGAAAAAAAAAACATCAATAGACATGTTTCATAGAAAAATAAATGAATTATTTAGGATCAAATGGTATTGTACAAATTAGTGAAACAGGTGATCGTGTTAGTGATTATTCTTTATTTGATCTGAATCCTAAAAGTGGTCAATTCGAAGTAATGATATATTGCAAAAAGTTTTCAAATGAAAATTTTTTATTTTTATAGGAAGTAGGAACTTATTTTGGTGTAAATTCATCATTTATTCTTCTAAAAGATATCTATTGGATTGATGAAGTAAAAAAAACACCACTGGATGTCCCCGTAAGATAATTGAAAAAACTTGAAATTATTTGTATTTTATTCTATATAGCCTTGTGGTTTTGATGGAAGTAAATGTCTAGTGCATAAAAGTAAGTTCACACTGCTTAAGAACATTCAAAAATAATTATCTTTTTGATTATCTTTAAAGATCCAGCATTACCCTGGATTTATTTTACTGCAAGTGTAACATCCGTTATATTTATTTTAACCATAATTGCATTTTGGTATTTTAAACGTGTTAGTTTTGAAGCTCAACTTAAAGCAATGAATTGGATTATTGAACCTGATGATTTATTTTCAATGGAAGATTTTGGTATTAAATATAAAACATTTAAACGCGATCGACATAAAGTAAAACAAAAATACTAATAATAAACGAGTGTTTTTTTTATTCGCTTTTATTTATGGAAATTATGTTTTTTTTGTTTAATTTAGCGTGCTTCTGTGCATCATATTCCATTATTTGACGAAGAGAATGATATAGAAAATGGTGCAGCTGTAAAAACAGCACGATTTAAGGTAAAATCAAAGAGAATTCAAATAAATATCCTTTCCAAAAATAAAGATATATACGCATAATAAATATATTAATTAAGTTCCGGTTATTTTGAAACATTATTTTTTATAATTTGACTTTAATTAAACTAATAAGAAGCGATATAAAATTGTTATTTCTCACGTAGATTTATTAGTAAACAGGAAGTTATTATTCGTAATTAATAAAACATAAATAGCTTGATGAAAAGAAATCAAAAAAC